GTTCTCATACTGGCTCCGGTGATGTGATAGTATTTGTTAAATTGAATTTCGATGAACTTGCCGAATCTCGAGGAATTATCGTTCCTCGTTGTCTTTGCGTTGCCGATAGCTTCCATGATCGGCAGGGAGGCAAGAACCTTCTTCTCGACCTGCGTTTCGGTCGTTGAACCACCGACTGTGGCAAAATATCGCATCGTGTACTTTGCAGAGACAGTTTTACCGGCGCCGGATTCGCCGGAAACGATGATAGATTGATCGTGACCTTCCCTACATTTATCACGTAACATTTAGAAGATTCCAACCTCCATTTTAATCCTTTACTTTAATCCTTTGAATGTTTTCCTTTGACATTGCGTAAAACGCGATTTGACTAACGTCATTGGATAACACACTACGATATGACGATTCTTATCTCGATCAAATAAAAGAACAGTTTTGGCGACATGGATTTAAAAATTGATACGCTTGTCGTAATTACTGCAACAATTTCGGAATAAACGGGACATGTTTTATTTGCTTGTCACATTAAACTTGTATTTCCTCTGTCCTCTCGATAAATTTCAAATTATTATTCTTTCAATACTTTCAACACGCTGTTTCGAATTTCGACGTGCTGGCAATAAGATCGAAAAATTTATCGCACGTGTCAAATGAAAAGTCTACAGATAAATATGATATGTCTCGGTGTCCCGGTGTTGGGCGGCTTTCAAGCCTGATCTGATCATTTTTCCGAGCACTCAAAGGATTAAATAATTTACAACCGTGTAGAAAAAAAGCTCTCAACCTTTCCAGCTTGGTGTAAGCCTCCTCGGCGACGGCGAATATATGAGGTTCCAAGTCGCCCATCGCCTGGCCCCTGTACGCCCATATCGTGTCGTTCCCGTAAATTGGAAGTTCATTGTACGGGTTAAAGGCGACTAAAACGATACCGCAATACGTGTAAATAGAGTGTCGTTGGAAACGAATCTGAAGATTATAGAGAACGGCTGGCTCGTGAAGAAACGACAACGACGTCAAATTGTTCTCGCCTATGAGTATGTCGGGGTTTCTCAACGGTGGTAAATCGCAGTCCGATTTGATCTCCAGGGCCTTGATCTGATTGGAATCATCGGTACGAACCTTCAAGGTCGACTGATTTAATTTATAATCTTCCAGGAGTACCGCGCCTTCCCAAACCTTCTCCGGGTGCGGCACCCATACCCTACCACCCTAGAAGCACAGATTCTCCTTCATTCTGATTTTTTATTTATGCATCAATATGGTACTTTACGATGGTTCGTCACGATGGCAAAGGTAGTGCACTTGGCGCTGTGTCATCGTCGTTTTGCAAGTGAAGCTGCACGGTTCAACAGTGAAGAATCGCCTCAAGATACGAGGAGCAAGCTCGTACCGAGTTAATTACTTAGCGTCTAAGTTTTTCTTCTTTTGAAAAGATGACCTGCTTTTGCTTTTTGCCAGTGGTACGTACGAAAATGGGGTCGGCAATACAGCGTATCGATTTCGACGCGAAGTGCGCCAAATCGAGATTGATCATCACGTTACAACGTAGTTATTACTTTTTTAACCGCCGGACGTTACTCCGTGGTGTGTCAGAGGAAAAAAGAAAAGAAAAAAATACAGTGGGTATAAAAAATTATCCAGATGAAATTTTTCCCCCTCTCAAAACTATAAAATTTCTCATTTCTATTCAAAACTAGAAGAATTTCTTTTAAAGCTGACCAAAGACATTATTATTTAATTTTAAAGAAGAGAATCGAACCACACCGCCGAATGTAATTTTGCTTTGCAAGATAAACAAATGCGTAACGGTATACCAAAGAAATGGTATCTTGAACGTGCCTCACGATCGTACGAACGAGACACACGAAATACCAAAATGTACTGTTATACCAAGCACAGTGTACAGACAAAAAAAACGAATTACGTGATCTGAAAAAAATATCGGGCAACGGTGAAGTTCACTGTCTTCTTTGAAGTTCGTTGTGACATTAGGAAACTGGTTAAAAATATAGTCGAGGCGCGTTTAAACAGAATAGTGGCACGCGTACGGGTTATCTATGCCTAGAATGAAATAGAAATTAACAATGAACTTTTGTTCAATCTTCTATGTCAACTATTATGCAAGACATCGTTCGAAGGATGTTGAAAGAAAGTCAAAGAGAACATAGACGTTCAAGGTAGTACGAGGGAATCAAATTTTCAACAACGTTTATCTATATCGATACCTCGACGAGCTGTCGCTGAAATATTATTAAACCAATGATTGCAACTTTCTCGCAAAATGGAACACTTTTCCCTCCGCTGGATTATTATAACGAAACGATTAACCTCGAAATTTCGATCATCACCGTACTTAGGCATCCAGCCATAAACGGTACACCATAATTCAACAATGATTACTAACGCTGCGTTTCGCTTGTAGCATAGTTATTTTATTATTTTGCGTTTCGAGGTTAGTTGATTGCTGACATTGCGACTCTAAATTGCACAATTACCGATTTTCTGGTACACGCGTCTTCGCGAATCAACGAATTCCGTAACGAAGGCCAACACCTTACACGCAAAACGTAATCTGTGGCATATTGATACGTAGAAGTGGAAAAAATTTAATGACACATGGCAACTGCGACGTTCCGATTCGCCCGAAATTA